CCCCCCCCCCCCCCCCCCCCCCCCCCCCCCCCCCCCCCCCCCCCCCCCCCCCCCCCCCCCCCCCCCCCACAGGGGAGCCGCAACAACCTAACAATTCAACTTACACTCACAATTTTCTTCGAAAATATATGTGAGTTCCACAAAATGTTATTGTTAGTTGAGCAGATTCCTCAGTTTCTGTCTTCATTATATATAAATTGATATGAAGGTGGTGATAAATTTCATGGTAAAATAACAGGCATCAGTCATCTTGCTACGATTAGTTCTTTTGACACAGCTACACTTAAGTAGAGCAAAAATATTGTGTATTTTCTTTTTCTTATATTGTCGACTAGAGAGAATATTTACGTAGGAAGCGGAACTGGTGCTTATTTGAATTAGGGTAAGAATAGAAGAGTAAAAAAGGGGGAATATTTGACAGAAATATTTTATTGCATGGTAATCGAAATAGAAAATATAACAGTGATATGTGAAATGAAGTGACCATTGAGAAACAATAGAGATATTTGAGTAAAATCTAGATTTTATTATTTTAGCCAACCGCAGTATAGTTGACGTTTTTTTCTTCCTAATGCCTTTCTTTGTTTTTGTTTTACGGTAAGTTTGTTGAGCTAAAAACAAACTGTCTCATTTTCCTGAGTAGATTTTTCTATTTGTTGAAGTCAAGATTTTATTTGAATAATAATACTCCATATGTTTATCTCATGCTCTGTGAGTTAGAATTTATCTGGAGACAAATACTAGAAATGAGAAGGCCGTTAGATTATAGGAAAAGAAGAGAAAGTTTAAAAAAACAAATATGACTATGATCATATCGTTATTTAAACGTGCACCTATTAAGATAAAATGCAGAAAATAGCGCATGGGAAGCTTATTCAATATACATTGATTCACATTTGAGTTGTAATGGGGCAATGCAGCACACTCAAAATATATTTAAGTGTCTCATTCTCCTGAGCTATATGAAAAACAGTGCAATTAATTATTGATGCGTATACCATAATATACAAAACAAAAAAGATTTTCAAAACATTGGTTTTTCCCTCCGTTAACTTTTTATATTCAAACACTACATTGTAGTGATCTTTTTCATGTTAAATACAATTGAGAAAAATAGCTGTAAATTACATAGTTTTGAATTGAAAATAAAATAAGAATATGATGTCATTAAGATAAAAACTTGTATTGCAACACAATTACTCTTTCTTTCTGCTGATTCTGCGTCATGAAATTTGAAAAAATCCAAGTATTCACCAGAAGAGTATTCATTAGTGTTTTACACAAACGACACATTTCTATGTCTGTTTCCTGTTGTTGTGAAAAACTTTTGATTTACTCCAATTCTCATGAAACGGTTCGAATTTTAATTAGCGTTATAAATGAACGATTGTAATTTTTATAGCTAGGATATGATTCCGTTTAAGATTTAACTTGGCTGATTGTTCTGATTGCCAGAAACAGCATACTAAACAATTCTCATCAATACATTGTTGCGCTACTTTTTTCTGTATCTCGTAAGAAGTATTTTTTTTGCTAGAAAGTGACGCTCGTGTTCTGATATGACAGATTATAGCGCAGTTTTCTTCTCGTACTCGAATGGTTTATATTATTTTGTATTTTTCTCAGAAGAAGATACCTATTTTTTTTTATCAATGTCTTTCCATGAAATACTGAACCGGATTAAATTTTTTGTCGTTTGGTTAAAGTGAAATTCTTCGTTTCTATACCTATTCTAAATTCAAAAAGTACACAATATAGAAAGTAAAGGAATCAGAGCAGTTAGTGCAGTTCTAAGAATTTATGAAACAAACTGCATATATGGTTTTAATTAGACGTAGGCGATTTCTATGAATAGGGAACATTATTCCATTGGAACGCATTCATTTTAATTTCTGAGGCAAAATTCTATTGAAAAATGGTTTGTCTACGATCTGTTCTGTTTGTGTACAATGAAGAAACAAAATCGCTTTCTGGGTGAGTAAAATTCCATAGTGTCTTGCTACAAAAAGGATTGTCTCTTATTTACTTCATAAATATATGACTGCCCAGTATTTCTCGAAGAAAACGTCTATTGATAATAGAAAAACCTTAGGTAGTTTTTGACGGCTCAAGGCTTACTTTATTTACTTTTCGATAATTATATATGAATAAATTTTCCGTTTTTTTCCTCTCTGAAATACTTGTAATGCTCCTATTGTTTAGATAACACATCCCGTCCATTAACAATAATCGGTGCTGAAGTATCAGTTCGTAAAATGGAAAAATATCCATCTCGAAAAGGTTTTGCTAATAAATTTGGCAAATCATTATCGAGTTTAAAATCGAGTATGTCAAAAGCATTACAATCTAATACATCGTCGAATAAAAATGAAGTTCAAACGATTGATTCATCACCATTACCATCTAATCAACAAATTCCGAGAAAATCATTCGATTCTCAATCTTCAAAACAATTACAAAACGATGTCGACATATTAAAAGAATTGTTAAATAAAAAGGAATCTTTACTTATGGAATTAACGAAAAAATATCATGAAGAATGTTTAAAATTCGATGAAGAAAAATTTCAATTAAACCAAATAATTCAGCAATACAAAAATGAAAATATTCAATTAAAAAAGCAATTAAATACGCAATAAAACTAATAAGAGAACAGTATTTTCGTTTCATTTTTTTGTGATATTTTATATCTTATTCTTCCAACATTCTTTTTTTGTATATTTAATTTGACAAAATTTTAATTACTCTATGCATACATATATATTTTTTTTTCTTTTCCATTTTCGTGCAATTTTTGTGCGCTTTATTTATTTATTTTTTCTTTAGATAAAATAAAATGTCAACCGATGAGTTTTATTCAGACAGAAATGATAGTCAATCCGATGAAACCTATGCAACACCAATTAGTCCTTTATCACCACAAGAAAAATCTCCACCACCTCCACCTTCACAACAACAGCAGCAGCAACAACAACTACTACCATCACTCTTACTAACATCAATAACAAGTTTGAATGAAGAAAAAGAAGACTTAAATTCTATTAATGAAATGCAAACATTAATGCAATCGTCAAATGATTTAACATTTCCGTTAGAAGATTCTTGGACATTTTGGTATTTTAAAAATGATCGCATGTGTGATTGGAAAGATAATTTAATTCAAATTACAACAATATCAACAGTCGAAGCTTTTTGGTCCGTTTACAACCATTTACAGTCAGCTAGTCGACTTGGTCAAGGTTGTGATTATTTTCTATTCAAAACACATATTGTTAGTATAGTTGATTCTTAGTTAAAATTGTTGACATTGATTCTATTCTTCTTCTTATTTTAGCAACCAATGTGGGAAGATCGATACAATCGTTCCGGTGGTCGATGGTGTTTAAATTTAAATAAGAGTCAACGAACAAATGAACTTGATACATATTGGCTGCATACAGTTTGGTGTTTCTTATTTCATCTAGATTTTTGTTTTGTTTACATTATTCTTTTCATTAGTTATTATCACTAATCGGTGATCAATATGGTGAAGATGCACATAATGTTAATGGTTGTGTAGTGTCAGTTCGCAGTAAAGGTGATCGGATAAGCTTGTGGACACGAGATTGGAGAAGTGTTGACGTCACAAAGCGCATCGGGTAAACAGAATTCACTTGATTTGACTTTAGAAACTGGAATCAAGCTCTTTTTTTTCTCATTTCTATAGAAGTCGTTTTCGTGAAGTTGCTGATATTCCTCGTTCAATGCAATTAATATTTGAAGTGAGTATTATTATTCATAAGATTCTCGAGTGCCACCGCTCAATCGTATGTATATATAAATATATATATATTGTACATGAGAGATTGCATCAAGAAACAGAGATTCTTTTGAATAGAAAATATTCTGTGTTAATTCTTACAAAAGAATTTATGAAGAAAAATAAATAATTTTATCTATTCAACTAACTGCTGTAGATTTGTAGAACTTTCTTATCATGTCCTTAACAACTTCTTGAATTCTTATATCTCTCTTACAGTGAAAATGGAAAGTAAAATGTGAAGAAAGATACCCTGAGAATGTTTGATGAATATAGAGTATACAAGAATGTGTCGAATAAAGTACGTAAATAAAATCATCGAGTAACGATAGATAGATTTTATCACGTGAATATTTCTCTACAAGCCACTCCCCCGGATTCACATAGTTTGATAGAAGATACACGTTCACAGATCATGTTTATCGCATTCTATGCATGATTGGTTGAAAGTCATCAATTAATTGATAAGCATGTCACGGTTAGATACATTTACAGTTAAATGAAGAGATCAAGCATGAAACAAACAAATCTAGACAAAAACAATTTATGAATCACATTTATCTGTGTTAAAAATCAGTAAACACATAATTTTCACTTTTAGAGTCATGAAGATCAAGAGTCAAAACGTGGTGCATCGTCGAAAATTCTTTTTCGCGCTTGAATGAATGAACCAAATGAAATTGTTTCTTGTAAAAAATTTATTCGCTTTTTGACTTAACTGTACAAAAGAAAAATTTTATTGATCTGTTCTTTACATTTCATCGAATGGAATCTTATTTGTTGTATGTGAGATTGTAGTCATGTATGTGTCGTATATTTTTTCTTATTCTTATTCGGCTATTTTTTGTTGTTGTATTTTATTTATAAATGTATATAGGTATTTGTTTAATTAGGCAAAAGAATCTTTTCTGTTGTTTTGTTTTTGTTTGTGAATGGATTGTTGTGGTTAAAATCTAATAATAAAATGAATATTTAAAAAGTGAATGAAATCATGTGATTCGATCTACGTATATAAATAAGTTGCACACTGTAAAAAAAACATGAGTAGAATAATAAACCCTTTTGTTCGTACGTGAAAACTTACGTACACGCTTGAAAAGCAAATAGGTCATTTTTTAAAAACCTTCCATGGTTTATGAAATATTTTCGCATATACATAAAAAAAAGAGATTTATTTTGCGTTTCACTTTCAGAAATCCTTCCAGGGTTTATTATTTTACTCTTATTTTTTTTATAGCGCACTGTAGATAAAAAAAATGCACTGATATCATTTATTTCGTTCTGTATTTATTTTTTTTTGCTAGAACATTTGAGCGGCCTTTTTACATTCCTTCAGCTTGCTAATGATTAAAAAAAAACATTGATAAAATATTTTTCGTTCTTTTTCAGATACACATGTACACGAGTAGTGATTCGCATTACATATTTATGTGTTAGTAAGTATCTATAAGGTGGTCCTACTTCTTTTTGTTCTTCTATCAAAAATGCCAAGCGAAAATACCACGGAACAGCAACTTTTATCAAAGGATCCACCAGATATTGAGGTAGATAGAGTTTATACGATTGACTATTATATATAAATACATCTTTAAAAATGAATACAGAGTCTACTTTTGTTAAATCCAAGAACGAAACCATTTGCTAACTCAAGGCCATCAGTGCAAACACTTCAAGAAAAAAAACATTGGAAACGTAATGATGAACATTCATGTGCAACTGTAAGCATCTAAAGATATTCTCTCTATAGTATAGTTCTTTTGTACATATATATATAATACATTTAGGGTTGTACTAAAGATTTGAGTAGAAATTTTCTTGATGTTAAACATACAACATTAAGCGAACGAGGGGCTTTACGTGAAGCAGCTAGGTAAATAAATCAACAAAGAAAACTTTTTGAAAGAGAACTACGTTCTTTTTTACTTTTCTTTTCTTTATTCAGGTGTCTTAAATGCGGTAAGAGAATACTAGTTATACAGAGCGTATGATTGAGCTTTTTCGTTCTATTAAACTTTAGCTGATGCTCCATGTCAAAAATCATGTCCCACTTCGATTGATATAAAATCGTTCATAACATCAATTTCAAATAAAAACTATTATGGAGCTGCTAAAGCAATTCTATCCGACAATCCCTTAGGTCTCACATGTGGTATGTTTATTGTTGCATCAAATTCTTCTTTTTTTCTCATATTAGTTTTTAATTGTAAGGTATGGTTTGTCCAACAAGTGACCTTTGCGTTGGTGGATGTAATCTACATGCAAGTGAAGAAGGTGCAATTAATATTGGAGGTTTACAACAATTTGCTGTCGATGTAAAAACAAAATGACGAACATTTTATTTCTATTGAATTTAATATTGATATTTTTTTTTTCATGAATCTAGATATTCAAATCTATGCATATTCCAGCAATTCGTGATCCAAGTTCAGAAGGAGTTCCTTTAAATGAGAAATATTCAAGTAAAATAGCTTTGATTGGTTGTGGTCCAGCATCTATATCGTGTGCAACATTTCTTGGTCGACTTGGTTATAGCGATTTGACAATTTTCGAAAAGCAAGACTTTTTAGGTGGTCTTAGTTCATCGGAAATTCCTCAATATCGTTTACCATTTGACACTGTTAATTTTGAAATCGAACTCATGAAAGATTTAGGTGTAAAAATTATACCTAATAAGCCATTAACAACTGAAAATGATGGCTTAACAATAAAAAATTTACTCAATGAACATGGATTTAAAGCAGTTTTTCTTGGTATCGGTCTTCCGAATCCAAATATTGATCCAATATTTAAAGATCTAACTAAAGCCGAAGGCTTTTATACGTCGAAAAACTTTTTACCTCTTATTGCAAAATCTAGCAAAGCTGGTAATCAGTAAAATTGAATTTGAATTCTTGTCAGAAAACGTTTTTTTAAATTATTATTTGTACTAGGCATGTGCGCATGTAAATCTGCATTACCTGTAATGAGTGGTAATGTCATTGTACTTGGTGCCGGTGATACAGCCATGGATTGTGCAACATCAGCTATACGCTGTGGCGCAACTAAGGTTTTTGTTTGTTTTCGAAAAGGATTTAATCAAATGCGTGCTGTACCAGAAGAAGTAAAATAAAAGTTGTTTAGTTTTTCTTGAATAAAATTTAAAATTAGGTTGATGTTGCAATGGAAGAACGATGTGAATTTCTACCATTTTGTTCACCAAAACAAGTCTTCGTTAAAAATGGTAAAATAACATCCATGGAATTTGTTAAAACTGAACAAACCGAATCAGGTATTTGTTATAAAGTTTACGCTTTTGTTTGTCAAAATTATTGTTTCTATTTTAGGTGATTGGATTGAAGATGAAGATCAAATCATTCGTTTGAAATGTAATTATGTTATCTCAGCTTTTGGATCAACATTAAATGAACATCCAGGTTTTGATTTTTCAATATCTATAATTAACTTAATTCTTTTTGCGTCTGTTTTAATATGCAGTGGTTCAAGCACTTGCACCTATACAACTAGATAAATATAATTATCCTGTTGTGGATTTAACAACAATGACAACGAGTGAAAAGGGAGTATTTTGTGGTGGTGACATAGCTAAAGTAGCTAGTACAACAGTTGAATGTGTTAATGATGGAAAAACAGCTGCTTGGCATATCCATAGATATATTCAAGTACGATATACAAAAGCAAACATGTTTTTTTTTCAACATGTATATTTCAATAAATTGTTCGATGACCTAAATCGAAATAATTTATTCTTGAACTTAGATAGGATATTTTTTGATGATTGATTTCTTTTTGAATAGGGCGTGGAAACTATTCCTCTTGAGCCACAATTACCAAAATTTTACACACCCATTGATAAAGTTGATGTTAGTGTTGAAATTTGTGGTATCAAATTTCCAAATCCATTCGGACTTGGTAAGATCTATTTTCCATTAATAATATTGATAAATAATTTCATATAATCTTCAGCTAGTGCACCACCTGTAACATCAGGCCCAATGATTCGGCGAAGTTTTGAAAGTGGTTGGGGTTTCGTCGTCACAAAAACATATTGTCTCGATAAAGATATTATTACAAATGTGAGTCCACGTATTGTTCGTGGTACAACATCAGGCTTCAATTATGGACCAGGACAAGGTTCATTTTTAAATATTGAGCTTATATCGGAGAAAAATACTGAATATTGGCTTCGTTGTATAACAGAATTAAAAAGAGATTTTCCTGATCGAGTAAGCTTCCTTTCTTTTTTATTCTGATAAGTTTAAAAAATAAAGAATTATCGAATACATCAATAGATTGTCATTGCATCGATTATGTGTGGTTATAATGAAGCAGATTGGACAGAGTTAGCAAAAGTAACTGAATCATCAGGTGCTGACGCATTAGAGGTTTGTCTCAAAAGGCTTTTTGTTGTTGTTTCGGTGATGTGCTTATATATATATATGTTTATTCTTTTAGCTCAATCTTTCATGTCCACATGGAATGGGTACGTAGAGAATATTTTGTAAGAGAATCCAGTTTCATTCTTGTCTTCATAGGTGAAAAAGGTATGGGCTTAGCCTGTGGCCAACGAGCTGATCTTGTTTTAAATATTTGTAAATGGGTTCGAGCTGCTGTGAAAATTCCATTCTTTGCTAAGATGACTCCAAATATAACTAACATTATTGATATTGCTCGAGCAGCTAAAGAAGGCAAGAAAAAGAACACTCTCAAATATAGTTTATAAAAATTAGTTCTAAATAGGTGGAGCTGATGGTGTTACAGCAACTAATACCGTCAGTGGTCTTATGGGCATAAGACATGATGGAACAGCATGGCCAAATGTCGGAAAAAGTAAAAAGACAACTTACGGTGGTGTCTCAGGCAATGCTATTCGACCAATCGCTTTAAAAGCTGTTTCTGCCATTGCGTTAGTTCAACAGCTTTCTAATATTATTAATTTTCTTCAATTTCTATAGACGAGCTCTCCCTGGATTTCCAATTCTTGCCACTGGTAAATAGACAGAAAACAAAGAAAGTTCTTTTCTTCCTAAATTTAAAATCAAATATATTTCTAGGTGGTATTGATTCAGCTGATTCTGGTATGCAATTTCTATATGCTGGTGCGTCTGCTCTTCAGGTATAAATAAATATCTGGTATTCACTACAATCAAAATTTCTTTTTCAATAGGTTTGCAGTGCAGTACAAAACCAAGATTTTACTTTAATTGATGATTATGTAACCGGTTTACAAGCATTACTTTATTTGAAATCACTTGGTTTAGAAGGATGGGATGGTCAATCACCTCCAACACCAAAGCATCAAAAGGGTAAAACAATCCTTGTTAAAGATCTTATTGGTGCAGTAAGTACATACATGTATTGTTTTTATACAAATGTATTTCATTTTGTTTTTACTTTGGTTCCCATAGAAATTACCAGTATTTGGTGAATATCGAAAACAACGTAATGAAATAACTCAAAAATATTTTAAGGAAGCTGATATATTGGATGAACAATTTAAACCTGAGCCAGTTCGCCCAGCACGAAGACCTCAAGCCCCGATACCACGTGTAGCTGATGTTCGTGGTGTTGCACTTGATAGAATCACCGAATATAAACATTTAGATCCACGTGAACCAGCTGTTGCTATTATTGATGATGTAAGAAAACAATCATACTGATTGTTTCGAAGTGACAATAATTATTTTTCTCTTTTGTTTGCAGGATCTATGTGTTAATTGTGGAAAATGCTACATGACTTGTAACGATTCAGGCTATCAAGCAATTACATTTGATCCTGTCACACATATTCCGTATATAACCGAAGATTGTACTGGATGTACACTGTGCGTATCTGTATGTCCAATAATTGATTGTATTACAATGGTGCCACGAACGACACAGTATTCCATAAAACGAGGCTTAACCAAACAGATTATGGATGAAAATGCATCAGCATTGGGCATAGTACAATAATTGAATTGGAAAACTTCAAAGACAGAATGAAAAAAACGAAAATTTTATTCTCATGATTTTCTAGGTAGTCGATTAAGTTAAGTTTTTCTTGGGTTTGTGCTTCCAATATTAATAAAAGTTTCATCAATTGGGAAATCAAAAGTTTATATTAAGCATTTAGTCTCGGGTTTATGGCAAAGTTGTAAAAAGATAGAATGTGATAACGTAGTTCAAATATCAAATAAAACTTAAACTGCTTAGTAGAGTTTCATTCATATTTGTTCAAAAACAATGACAAGTTTTCAACTAATCTATAAAAACATGGAAATGAATTTTATATGAATGATATTATACATAATAATCTATTTTTCAATCTATAATGTGATGTCGTAGAATGTTTGCATTGTGTTCGTTTTTCGTTTGTCTTCTGCATTATGCAATAAAAATGAACATAGAAATAAAGTTCAAATAGTTTACAACTGAAATATCCTAAAGAGATAAGCATTTCCAAAGAGCAATTTATATTGACATTGAAGACAATAGAGAAATTCTTCAATTTATTTACACCGAATTTGCATTTAGGTTTAACTTGATGGGCTGCAAAAATTAGTGCTTGTAAATAACGCTGAGTACGTATAGATCTAAAACAATGTAGCCACATCATAATTCTGTCTAAACATAACACGCTAAGAACTAGTCTTTCAGACTTAGAATTATTAAACGTATGTTTGTGTAATCCAAATATATTTTCAAAGAGAATAATGATTGACAACTTTAAGTGCGCATTTTCCACTTTATCCTCTCTTCGCGACAGATCCTATTAGCCGAAGATAACTGGCATTGAAAATCTTTTTTTAGAATTTATAAACAACAGGAAATGAGACGCTGTACTGAATGAATCTCATGTTTTGAATCGTTCTAGAATAGTCTAAAATTTTTGTTAAAAATAAAATGCTTGAAATATGCTTATGAGTATTATTAAAAATTTACCTTCAAAATGTAAAAAATAATGCTTATTTGTCGGTTAGATTCATGATTTGAAAATAATTTATGTTGTATTAAAGAGAAAGAAATATGGCGAAGAAAAAACTTTGATTGAACAGTAGCAAGGAGTTTGCTGAAGATTTATCAGTCGATGTATTTTATATTAGTATAACCAGTCTTAGAAAAATATTTGTGAGTTTTAAAATTCAGCTCTAAAGGAACTACTCTGACACATTTCTTTTTCATCGTACGCTAGAAAACGTAGGAGAAACTGTGTTTTTTCACGTAGCATCTTGTCTTTTTTTTATGTTTATGCCTGATCAGTAGTCTCGTCAAATGGAGCAAATATACGAGTTGTATTTCCTTTTTTTAAAATATATTCTTTAGAATATTTCACGCCATTGTAGATGTCTACTGTCGAAGAAGTAATCGTAATAAACGTATATTAAATCTAAGACTACAACAAGAAAAGCACTCTTTTGTTTTAGAATGCTACTAGAAGCACTGTTGCTAATATTTTTATGAGAAAATCCATATTTCAGATTCATTGCAGCTCCTTATCGTGTAAATTCAACAAATGTATATATTTTAATGCCTAAAAACAATGTGCTTCGAGAACAATAGCGAACTATTATATAAATCTTTCAACCTTCATCGTCAGAAACGTTCTTCACGTAAGAATCTTATATACTATTGTTCCCTGATGCCATATTATTATAATTAGAATTCAATAGATGTCAGATAAAATCATTGTGTGCATTCTAAGATTGGATTTGGGGTTAATGATTCTTGGGCATACGACATAAATTTTTTAAATTCGATCAATTAAAACTCGTAAACGGTTGATTTTCGTTTTAGATTTCTACTCTATTAATTATGATATGATGAATAAAGGAAACAAAAGATTTGTGAATGGAAGTCTCTAACCAATGAAATTATTCCTTTAATGCCCAACATCACAACAGAACAACACAATAAAATAAACTCGTGCAAATATGCATTCATGCTTGTTAATTTGATTATTTATTTTTTATCGTTTCGATTAAACTTTATTTTTCTAACGTAGCCTGTTTCTTATAATAAATCTCTGGTTCATCGAAATTCTCTTTTATGACTATTTACACAGATTTCAATGCCATTGTTATTATTATTCTAGATCATTATTCAAATAAAGCCAATATTTTCTTGGAAATGGCTTCTAATGAGCAAGCAGATGAAACTCAAAGAGTAAGATTGTTTTCACTATAAGCAAGAGACTTTCATTACAATGGATATCTAAAAGCTAAAATTGAAAACATACGAAGGTCAACTAGACATATAGTGACCTCTTTTCATTAGATGCTAGGTCAATTTCAAATGAAAATGATTGACATTCAAACATCACTGAGAAAATCAACAACTCAAGTAGAAGGACTTAAACGTGATATTCATCGGTCAAAGTTAACAGATAAAGAAATAAATACAATTGATGAAAATACACCAATGTTTATTTCAGTCGGACGAATGTAAGCTGTACTTCGATCTTAAATGAAAATCACAAGAATCTCTTTTTTTAGGTTTGTTTTAAATAAGAAATCTGATGTTTGTGAACAAATCGAAAATAAAATAAAACTATGCGAAAATGATATAAAAAAGCAAGAAGTATGAGATAAAAACGTATCAAACAGAAAATAATAACACGTGACTTGATTTAATTCTTCTAGGGAACAAAATCGTATTTAGAAAAACAATTACGTGAATGTGAATTGCAATTTAAAGAAAAGTTTTCTGTATGAGGAGGAAAAACATCACGTTCTTAATAAATTGTTATACTTTCTTTTCTTTTTTGTTTGTACGTGTCCTTCTCTTAATTTTAGTTACTATTTTCTAGATAGATAATTATCTATGGCATCATCTACCCTCGAAAAACTCGCGTATATTAAAAATAATGATTATATTTAATAAAAATAATATCAATGTGAATTTTACTTTAGTGATGGAACTATTTTTGGCATTGGAAATCCATTACTGGATATAAGTGCTGAAGTACCAGTATCATTCCTTGAAGCGTATGTATTAGATTTAATAATCTTAATACTGAAAGCTTATATATTTTATAAAATGTAGAAAGAAAAATATGAGATACTAAATAATGATTAAGTAATTTGCTATGTTGTCTTATCGCCTTCATTTGTTTTTCTTATGTAAATTTTGATTGAGTTAGATATTTTACCTTGATAGAACAGAAAAATAATATATTGCTTCAATCAAAAATAATAGATCATAAAAGTGATAGTGTCAATTGATATCATATAATGACACTTTTTATTAATTATATAGTTATCTAATATGATATCTATTTTATAATTTGAAATAAAAACTAAGCAAGATTTTTCATCAGTGTTTAGATTGGGATAATAGAAATCGATTTAATAGAATGTTGTAAATACGTAAGTATATACATAAATATCAGATTGGTCTTTGTCTTGTATTTGATGTTATTGGATTGAATCGAATATTGAGAATCTCGTATTATTAATATTTTGAATTTTGCTTTTGGTGAAATTGGATAATAAAACATTGAGAAAAAAAATTCAGAATTTTAATACAACGAGCTTTTCTCTATTTAAACTGCAATGTTTTGTACTGAATGTTATCTTTTATCGAAAAAACATTTAAAAACTCCTTGCTATTATTATTTTTCTTTTGATCTATGCTAGTACTAATCCTTTGTTAAAAGAATATTAGAGAAATCATATTTATAGGTGTAACAGTTTTGAGTTACTTGTGATTGATTCTTTCATTTACTTATGGAAGGATTACAACGAAAAGGGGGACGAGGAAGATTGAGTTACGAGTGACTGATGAATAACAGTTGAACAGGGGTATTTATATGTGTGCGCGAAAGAGAGAGAAAGAGAACAACGAAAGAAAGAGGATAATGATAAAGAGAGACATGGCTCCCAGCGATGAGTGTATAACAGGTGAATCCATCACAATAGGAATATTTCCAATTTAGCCAAAACCGCTTACCCGTATGAATTATGATAGATATCATATCACGAAGGACTTTTCTAATGTCGAAATTTTTAACTAATCCCGAAGATATTTATGTAAATGTTAAGTATTCCTTGTATGTCGTACTTGCAGAGATGAATAAATTCCAAAGCCATACAATGAAGAGTTGACTATTTAGCCATCGTTAATTAGATTTCGAATGAAAGCTTTTAAAAAATGTGAGTGAGATTGAACAACTTTCTACGTGCGTATTCAACAAAGACGATTAAAACAATCTGTCCTATTATTCTTTAGTTGAAGTATCTTGGTGACGATCTCTAAGTTGTACGCAATCTACATTCTTTAGTCGAGAAGGAAATTTTGTTACTATATAAACAAAGAAAGAAATCTATTGCAGTTCGCATGAATCAATAACAAAGAAGACTGATAATATTTTCTGTTGATTTATTATTATCGTACATTATAGCGATAGACTTTTTCCTATGGACACATAGAGGGTGCTCATAAACGAAAAAAACTTAACTAAAACAACTAATCGTTCTTCTATGATTCCTTCGGGATTAATAGTGATGCGAATTATAACAACATGCCTGTAGTATAACTCGTTGTTCTCCTACATTAACCCTGCAAGATTCTCACTCCTTTCATGTTCCTGCATACTTTTAAATGTATTGTTTATCATAAAATTTTAAGATAAAAGATAATCTTTTTTCTATCTGTTTAGATACAATTTGAAAGCAAATGATGCCATTTTAGCAGGTAGCCAACATAAAGATTTGTAAGTTTATATTAATAAAACCATGATGTAAAAGATTAATAATTTTTTTAAATAGAAATGAAACTATACTTCGTGATTATCCAAATCATCAATTTGTTGCCGGTGGTTCAACACAAAATTCAATGAGAGCTGCAACCGTACGACTGTTTAAAATATTTAGAAATCATTGAATTCATTTCTTTTCCTTTTAGTGGATACTTCAGCAGCCAGGCGTTTGTGTTTACACGGGTTGTGTTGGTCAAGACAAATATCATCAATTATTACATGATGCAGCTTCAAAATCAGGTCTTACATTAGCATATCAAATTTACGAAAATCCTGCAGAACACGTACAAACTGGCACCTGCGCTGTTCTTATTACTGGCAACGACCGGTAAGATACCGAAGGCATTTAAAAACGACAAATTCTCATTTAACTTTTCTAGATCATTGGTAGCAAATTTAGGTGCTGCTAATCATTTTACAATTGATCATTTCAATGATCCAAAAAATCACGAACACGTTGAAAAGGCTAAAATATTTTATACAGCTGTATGTTATAGAATTATTGAAAAAAAGCACTGGTTAACATTTCAATTTATTTATTAAAAGGGGTTCTTCTATACAGTATCTCCTGATACTGTTATGCGTTTATGTGAACATGCTGATCAGACTAATAAATTATTTTGTACGAATTTATCAGCACCTTTTGTTTGTGAATTTTTCGGTGACAGATTAATGAAAGCAATTCCATATGTTGATTATTTATTTGGCAATGAAACTGTAAGTAGAGTTTAAAATAAAATGCCTGATAATTAAATACAATAATATGATTTCTCTAGGAATCGCGAAGTTTTGCTAAGAATCAGTTAAATTTGGATGTAAGTAAAACTTTTGATATTTCAATTATTTGGTAATGATTTGTTTTAAGACTCTCGATGTTAAAGAAATAGCTAAAGCATTAAGCGAACTTCCGAAAAAAAATTCAAAACGTCCACGCGTTGTCATTATTACACAAGGTGCTGATCCAACGATTCTTGCTATTGGTATGAAATTTTGAATAAAAATGGTCAATGTTCTATTTGAAAATTTTCTTTTCTTTCAGCTGGTCAAAATATTCAAGAGTTTCCAGTTAAAAAACCGTCAAAAATTATTGATACGAATGGTGCCGGCGATTCTTTCGTTGGCGGTATGTTTTTTGATAGAGAAAACTAATGTTTCCTTGAATCTCTACTGATGTAATCATTAAGTTTGTCTCTTTTGACATTGTTTCTTAATTGTTAACGTAATTTTTATTTGACTAAAGAGAAAAATTATTTACAATTCGAATGTATCAGTAGAATAAATTTTAGTTTGCTTCAATCGATCTTTCCATAGTGTTTATTGTCATCAATATATTTTTCCTGACAATAGTGAAGATTGACGACCATAGACTATGAAAAAATGAGTTATCCCACATAGAACGATAGGGAAATGACTCGTATGTATTTACCGTACACTAAATAAAATTTTGTTTAGTTCTCTGTAGAATGAGAAGAAATCACTATTTTCCACATACGATTAGAGAGACGATGTATCCCAAACTCAGTATATGGTGTGAAGCCACTCATTGAAACTCAGTTTTTGCAAAAGCAAATTTAGTAAAGATACCTATAGTTTTTCTTGGAACTAAACTTGTATCATATGGAAAAAAAATTTCGAATTTTCGTTTAAAATCCAATAGTCTCCCATAATAGGAAACTACATCGAGATTTCGTATACACACCAATCGAAATAAGAATTTTTTTCATTTTGAAGATAATTGAACAAAAAAATAACTTTTAACTTTTAATTTATTATTTAAGGTTTTCTTGCTTATTTGGCTCTTGGTAAAAGTAACGAAGAAGCTATTCAAGCTGGTGCCTATTGTGCTTATGAATGTATTCAACAATCTGGATGCACTTATCCAGAAAAGCCTAGTTTTGATGCTAAAACTTTTGTTGCTTAAACTTTCCATTCATGGCAATAATCAAACGTTAATTTTCTAGAAAGAAATAATAGCCTCAACGTTTGAACGATTAAAATAATCAAAAGAATTTTGTTCTTTGTTTTTGATGCAATAACAACTAAATAAATTTATTTTAGATTAATAAATATAAAACATTTCAACATGTAATAATCAAAATTGAAATAAGAAAACGAAAACAAAACATTACACTAGTTTTTTTTTATTCTTCCATAAAGTAATGAATTTTTTAGTATTGCAAAGCAGTTTTTATGTGTGCTTTATTTTTAGCTTTGATAAAATGGACAATAACAGTAATAATAATCGAACATCAGCTACTGCTAATTCGTCCTCAAATACAAATGCAAGTACGACAACAGCAATAACAGCAACAACAACGAATGCGTCTGGATCATCAGCTGCGTCATCAACTGCTACATCATCGTCAATACGACAAAGTCATAAACGAACATTTTCCGAATCTGATTCATCGTCAAGAACAGAAAGACATTTATGTTCTTTTTCACATCTATGGATTATTAAGTAAGCAACTAATTTTTTTATCTTAATGATATTGACAATGTTTTGTGCTTTGCATTTGAAATTGTTGCGAAAAAATCTCTAAAAACAGAACGTTCGTAACTTCAAAAATTACTTTTTGATTCTAGTTAATAGATCTTAATCAGTTATTTAAACAGATGCATTGTTAGCTAACATGCAATCTTTGCTAACTACTAAGGTTACATCAATTCCGAAGACTCAAGCAACTCATACTGTTCTAGAACTAAACATCTCGTAAAGAGCGCATTAATTTGATCAAAAATTTGCCTTACACACAGTCCGAGGTTGGAAACATGTACATTTGTTAAACATTCAAATATTTGATAGGTTCAGCTTCCGCCCCATTCTTATCTAAGAAGATTCCTACCTGTTTTGAATATCTAATATAATATCACGATCGTTTTGTGCCCTTTCTTTTTGAAGATATAAATTTAACATAATTTTATTTCGATCTATTTCTTTAGTTATCTTTCATCGTATATCGATGATTCCAATTCTACTTGTCTTCAATCCGAATCATTTTCGCCTGTTAATACACCTTATTCAAATACACGATGGAGTTTAAAATTATATCCACGTGGTTTAAATGAAAAACAACATGCAAATAATAATATCGCTATATTTCTCAAATATGTTAGTGGTACAATGCCAACAATAAAAGCAAAAGCTGAGTTCAGTGTTGTTAGTCGTAATAATGAACTTGTTATGTTGCGTTCAACTAATTTTCATACATTTTCTTCTGGAAACGATTGGGGTTATTCAGGTATAGATATATTTATCTCGGAATATAGAAACTATATTGCAGTTGCTTTTGTTTTCTTTAAAAGAATTCCTTGATGGCAACTATTTAAATTCTCGTCGGAATGATCTAATAACCGATGATCGCCTTCGAGTTTATGTTCGTGTTGTATTAGTTGATGAAAAAGAAACAACAACAGGTGATTTAATCCGTCATGCACATCATCACCATCATCATCATCCATCATCAATTCTACCCCCACCGCCACCACCTCCATTACCATCATCTCAACATCCAAATCAACAACAACAAACAAGTACGACACCTAAAATTCAAGCATCAACATCATCGTCATCAGCATCTTCATCAACAGCAACATCAATGAATAATTCAAATCCATCAAGCACATCCACAACATCATCGACAATGATCTCTGGTTTATTTTCAGATGATAAAGAGCGCTTCAAATCATTAGAATTTCTCTCCAACCAAATAAAAACACTTTTAGACGATGAAAGGTTTGCTGATGTACATATTCATGTTATTTCTAAACAATCGATATCAATTCAACCACAACCACAACAACAAACAATTATCATTGATGATCATAAAAAACCAAATCGAACAAAACACCCAAGATTATCTTCAAAACAACAACAACAACAACAACATCATCCGTCGTGTTCATCTTGTCATTGTACATCAGAGAAAATAAAATCTAGTAGCACAACTAACGAACAAATATCTGATCATCATGAACAGTCATCATCAGGTATTTCTATATGTTAATTAATTGGCAAATTTAAAATAGAATGAATAGTAATTGACAGAAAAATTATCCTATCAGTACTATATTCGATTCTTAGATTCCAATATAATTAGAGCATTCAAATAAATATTATTCAAGAATTCAGTAAAAATTTCGCAAATATAAATATGAATCTTTGGAGTTGAACGAATTGATCACTGTAACATAAAATAGTTTACACCATAGACTGTCTTTGAGGAATTAGATCTATCGAAACCTCGGAAAATTAACTTCAAGCTCTTATCTTCGGTATTAAAAATTTTTACCTGCATTTGATTCGCAGCATAAAATAGTTGACATAGCAGATGCTTAGATTACCTGTAGAAATTCACAGTGTCAAAATAATTCGAAGTCTTGAATATGTTTAAACTTAACTATTTTTCTCGAAATTGATCTAATATCCATTGAAGTTTTTTTTTCATGTAAACATACGAGTCAATCGAACATTTATTGTTCAAGAGAAAAGCTTGTTTTACCAGAGACTTTAGATCAGAGTAATACCAAAGTAGTTTAATTCCTTATTCTGAACTTGAAATTCATCCCTCGTACGATAATATTCTCGAAGAATAATATTTTGATAATTTAATAATTGCATCGAACATTGAAGAGTACGTCTGTTAGTTTGCTCTATTGGTTGATTAATAGATTTTTCAAATAAGAAGATCTGACATTCGACCTAAGCTGCATTCTACTATTGAAATTTAATTGATAATATTTTTGTTTTCTAGTTCTTTGTAAAGATTCTGAATCTGACATTTTCGATTGTCGTCATTCAACCAATGTTTCATCTCAAAATTATACATCTTCTAGTTCATCATCCGTAACTCCAACAATACGTCGAACAACTCGTTCAACAAGTTCTTTACTTTCACGTATTGCTCAAAGTTCGACATCATCATCATCAGTGGAATCAAATTGTTCAACATCATTCATTGAACCTTCATCATCAGACATATGTTCATCATCGTCTCTATTATCTTTATCATCAACTACAAAACGTTGTTCATGTATTTGTCATTGTCAAGATAATACAGAACAAGATATTCATTTAGAAATTCAACAATCTCAATTGAAATATGCTAATGTAACACCTTTAGCAACATTTCATGCTCATAAAGCTGTATTAATGTCTCGTTCATCATCATTTGCAACCCAAATACGTCATAGTACTAATTACAATAAAATCGATTCAAAATTACCGTCGATTGATTTATATATTGATGATCTTGATCCATTAACTGTTCGAATAATGCTGATCTATATATATACAGGTCGTTTAGTAACATCGAATGATGATATGAAAACAAATATCAATGCTATTGATTTATTTCGTGCTGCTGTTAAATATGATTTACACGAATTACGTCAGTTAGCCAAATCTACTATGTTAGATGCCTTGAAAGTGGATAATGCTATTGAAATGCTTGAAGTTAGTGATCAAGCTAATGATGTATCACTTAAACAACAAGTTTTAGCCTTCATACGTTCAAATGCGTCAGCTGTATCAAAAACAAATAATTGGCTACAATTCACCAAACGTTATCCACATTTAGTTATTGATGCATTTCGTTCACTTGTTACACCACCATCAACAACAAATACAAAACTTAATAACAATACGACGACTACTACTACTACTACTGCTAATAACAATAATAATAATAATACTTTTCATTCAACATCATTAACTACAACAAGTAAACAATTTTCAAAATATGATTAATAATTGAATATGTATGGGAAAAGAAAATAAGAATCCTTCGTTGTGTTTTTCTTTTTTTTCTGTCTTTTATTCTTTCTTATCTGTACAGTCAAATCGGATGCATAAGGAAAGTTTTGTTGTCCTGTTCGTATGTTTGTTTTTCCTTTGTCATGATATATCTACTTGCAAAATAAAATATGAGAAAAAAATTTTATCTTTTCTTTTATGTTTTTCAATATGATATATTTCTTGTTTTACTTCAGATTTGAATTTATTCTCAATCTGTGGATAAAACCAATGAATATAATAACTATTCGTATGCGAGTTGTTAGTATTTTTTGAATGCCATAAATTAGTTTCTCAGGTCGATCAACTTGTGTCGTACACGGCCATTTGATACGCACCGTATTACGGTCGTTTTGCATCGTGCCATAAACGATCGGATACGGTCGGATACTGAAATATCCGACCACATTACGGCCGTTAATAACCGTTTACGACAAGGCGAAATACGACCGTAATACGATGCATGCCAAAACGTCAAATTACGGTGATTTACGGTCGGAAACGTTATAAAACGGTAGTATACGTTGCCGTATGCTGCCATTTACGATCGTATCAGGTCGTCGTAATTTCGACCTGGGATTGTATTAGATTTCTAAAAATGATCAATTTCAAAGTTAAGTAAATTCAATTAAATATTCTAATCGGAATAGGATAATTACCGCTGAGGTACAATAATATATATGTTTTTCGAGTTTTCTATTAGATGACTAGCGCAGTTTACCTATTTCTCTGACGAATTAGAATTCTTCAAGCTCATAATGTTTTTCTACTCAGATGTTAGTCGATGGGTTCTAATTCTAACTGCTACTTTCATCATTAATAGAATAATATTGAATAAATACTGCATAAATAGAATACAATCGATCATAAGAAGTAAAATTTTCAGAACACTTACCATAGCAATGCATATAAATATCATTTTGTTTTTAAATTTAATAATGTGATGTAAGCAATTTAGTGTATGTCAATGATATAATCATCATTCATATACATAGGTATTTTTTTTAAACCCATAGGGGTTCTAATATGACTTCAGGCTCTATAGCAATATTTATATAATGACGTATGATGATATCTATTGTGATGATAAATAAGTTTTTGTTTTTATTTCTTTTTGAGAGAGGAGCTCGTAGGTAAAATGACTATTGTCGATAATAGAAATTTCATGGTTACTTAATACTGCTACAGAACTAAGTTCCTTTTTTTTGAAAGAACATTTTCAATCGTAGACGCTTCATTTCATCGAGTGACTGCTTGCTATTCAATAGAAGTTGCTATGACAAGAGAAGAAAAAAACGTTCTGTAATTTAATAGAGATTTTTACTTTAGTAATGGATGATGTATAAATTTTTTGCAGAAAAGAAATCATTTTAAAAGCATTCTCTAATTTTAAAAATCAAGGTAAACAAAATTAGTAGTAGCGTCATCTATGTAGACAAACTATTTTGTTTGATTAGGTATTGTTATTTTTTTCATCGAGCACAAAAACGAATCAGCTGATAGGAAAAAAATTGTATTCACCTTGATGATCCGCGTATTGGAACTTTTATTATTCGTTCATATAAAGAAAAAAGAAAATTAAAATTAACTTTTATTTTTTTTTCAGCTGTTTCTTTATGTCTTGTGTTACTCGTATAGTAATATTTTAGATGTGTGTTTGCCGTTGTTATTCTCTTGACAACAGCTTAACAATAGTCAATTGAAAAGAAATAAATAGATATTCTTTCTTTTTGGTTTTTTAATCAATTCCATTTTAATTAAAAAAATAAAGAAACAGTCAGACTAATGGAAACAATGAAATCCAACTCAGGCAATGATTATACAAATGAAGAGCATTCGCCAATGCTCACATCGTCGTCTTCGTCGTCATCAAATAGTTTATTAACATTTCTCAACAGTCATTTAAATAAAAATTCCACAGATGATTATGAAAAAATTAGTGAACGATTTTTAACAGTGTTTTCAACATGGGATGATCGTGAACAATTAAATTTTGTTGAAAATCTACTCAAACGTATGCACAATCATCAACATGGTCAAATCAATTCATTTCTATTGCCTATGTTGCAAAGAGATTTTATTGGACAATTAGCAGCACGTGGACTTGAACATATAGCAGAAAAGATTCTTGGATATTTAGATGATCAATCATTAATATCAACAGAACTTGTTTGTCACGATTGGTATCATGTTATATCATCAGGTATTATAAATAGAAAGTTAGAAATTTTTTCTAAAATTTGCGTTTGTATTCAAAAAATAAGTTTTAGAACTAATTTGTATTTGATTGCAGGAAAAGTTTTAGTCAACATAGAAGTATGCAGTTTCATCTAACGAAGTGCCTACTTATTTTACGCCAAATCAATAGAAAATATCGCTGCAAAAAGACCTATTTTGACAGCTGTTGTACGCAGCAAGGATCTCAGTGTGAGACATAGGATTTCTATGTTTGGAATCCTTTCTATTAGAAGAAACCTGCTAAAATATGAAAGATCGCCTCTAGTATCTCTATACACATGCATCCATGCTGAATATTGACGTCAAATCTGTAAATTTTTAACGTAATTCATGTTTCCGCTTGTTCTCGTATTCGTTTTTTAATGTCGAATTTAATTGAAGGAAAAACGTAGGTTCACGATCCATATTTCATGCTAGCTTTTATTAAGTCGACAAGAATGTGGTATATCTTCAGCATCTAATTACAAATATTTTCACTCCTGAGCAAACAAATCCAGTTATGATAGATATACGAATTATAAAAAAATGAAAAATGAAAGATGCGTTAGTATTAGAAGAGTGTATCTCGTTTTCTTTCATTTATTATGATAAATTATATCTAATATTATTGTCCTATGACAAATCATTAGTTAATGGTATATTTGTTTATATGTATGCTTGAATGCAAATGTTCAGATCAATTGTGTTAATTGTCAAAATCATTATCAAATAATGTACAAACATAATAATTATAGTAGTCGAATAAATCTTGATTAAAAAATAATAATATATAATGATCGAAAAAGAAATTGTTTATTTATTTTAGGTATACTCTGGAAAAAATTTATTGAACGTAAAGTTCTATCAGATTCCTTATGGGATGGTCTTGCTAAAAGACGTGGCTGGACAAAATATCTTTTTCGTCAGATATTAACATCGGGCGAAACTTCTAAAAGTCATGAATTCTATCGTACTTTGTATCCGAAAATATTGAATGATATTAAACAAATCGAAACCAATTGGCATACAGGGAAATTTCAATTAGAAAAAATTCAATGTCGTTCACAAAATAGCAAAGGTGTTTATTGTTTACAATATGATGATGAAAAAATAGTTAGTGGCTTACGTGATAATACAATCAAAATATGGGATAGAAAAACTTCTCAATGTACCAAAGTATTAACAGGACATAATGGTAGTGTTTTATGTTTACAATATGATGAAAAAGTAATTGTTACTGGTTCATCCGATTCAACTGTACGTATATGGAATGTTAAAACAGGAGAATTAATTAACACACTATTACATCATTGCGAAGCTGTTTTACATCTTCGATTTTGGAATGGTACAATGGTAACATGTTCAAAAGATCGTTCCATAGCTGTTTGGCAAATGAATTCGCCAACTGATATAACTATTCGACGTGTACTTGTTGGACATCGAGCAGCTGTTAACGTTGTAGATTTTGATGAAAAATATATTGTTAGCGCCAGTGGAGACCGAACAATTAAAGTTTGGGTAAGTATTTTCTTGTTGAATTAATTTCATTCCAAGTATTTATTTTTTCTTTTGATTTAAAAAGGATACAACAACTTGTGAGTTTGTAAGAACATTACTTGGACATAAACGCGGTATTGCTTGTTTGCAATATCGTGATAAAATTGTTGTTAGTGGTTCATCAGATAATACAATTCGTATATGGGACATTGAATGCGGTGCATGTCTACGTATACTTGAAGGACATGATGAACTCGTACGTTGTATTCGTTTCGACACAAAACGAATTGTTTCTGGAGCTTATGATGGTATGGAAAGTACAAACGTTTTTTCTTTAAATAAATTTTTTTTTGCAATAGGTAAAATAAAAATTTGGGATTTAGTAGCTGCTCTTGATCCACGCTCTCAATCACCATTATGTATATGTACATTAACTGAACATACAGGACGTGTATTTCGTCTACAGTTTGATGAATTTCAAATTGTATCAAGTTCACATGATGATACAATACTTTGTTTTAATTTTCTCAATGATTCAACAATACCAGATCATTCAACAACGATAACAACTTCTTAATATTTAATTCTGTATATGTTCCTGTTATCATCTCATGTCACTTCCTATTCTTTTCGGCTATGTCTTTTATTCAAAATATATAGTTCACTTTTTTTTGTCTTCTTTCATGTCTATGTTTATATTGTCGTTTTTAATGTGCGGTGTCCTTTTCTTTTTCTGTCTTTTTCTTCAGTGTATATTCGATCAACTTACAAAACAAAACAAAACAAAAAACATGTTGTGGAGAGGCTTGCTAACAGCATTTTTGAACAATTGTTTCTTTATTATTTAAATATATAATCAAATGAAGAATGACGAAAACAAAACAGAGATTAGAACAATAATATTCGTTTTTTTTAAAATTATTTATCTATTTGGGAAAAGAATGAATCGATTGCGATTTTATCTATAAATTTACAAGAAATACTTTCAAACATAATTAAAATAACTAATCAAAGTAAAATAAACAAAATAGCATCGGAGATTTGTTTATGAATGTATTTATTAGTATGAACGTGTGTCCTTGATGAAACAATGTTGAGGTCATCTGCAAACGATTAGAAAATTTTTTATGTTTCTGTGAAAATACTAACAATAATAATAATAATGGTTACCATCTCAATAACTGCACATAAAATCATTGATTTTGTAAACTTCCACAGTACTTATTATTTGAATGACTATCTAAAAAGTCCTTGATTGACAAGTTCTATTAGAGGAAAAATAAAAGTAGTACTACGGTCTTCTCAATAGTAACTAGTCTAGGCATGAGTGGCACTATGTTGTTCATATCTGTTTATAATCAATCACTAGTGACAATATACAATTTGACACAGCCTTTATGTCACTATGATAGGCATTCTTTGCGATAGAAAAGGATTAGTACTGCTCTTGAGATCATCTTGTATCTATCCAAACAAACAACAGCAACAACAACAACCTCTAAATAATACTTTAAATAAAATTGAATAGATGTTATCAAGGTAATCTTCAATGATAATCTTATGGTTTAGTTATATTAATTATCTTATTCATAGTATTCTTTGTTTTCTATGCGATATAAACATCTTCTGGTAGTCTCTTTATTGTACACATGGCATGATGCTATAAATTCATAGACCAATACACAAATAGATTTTTCTTACTCCTCTTATTCTTGTTAGACTTGTATGTCTTGATCCTGTTTTATAGAGTAGTATATAAACAGTGCTAAACATAGAACGCTTTCCAATTCCTAGCTGTAAAGTACCATTGCGTCCTAATTACTTTCTACTGGTAACTATATTTGTTTCGTCGACAGATGTGTGTCTATCTAGTTACAGTACTGATTTTAACCTACATCGAACAAAACGGGTAATGAATGCTTGCAGGTGTATTCAAGAATTCTATTGACTAAAAACAAATACATCAAAATAGTTGATATTTTTACACTTTGTTTTTAACTTTTTAATGACATTTATAATATTCTAAAATATGAAATAAGGTTATATATTGATTCTAATCAATAAATCCTTTTCTTACTCAACATTTTCAATTTTTTTTACATAAAATCGTTCAACTGTAATAGAAATATACCAAAATCTTCTCAGTAACTCCCTTGTAATGATGATTGTTCAGCAGCATTTTGAATAAGATTATAAATCAAATATATTTTTATGTGTTTGTCAATTGTTTTTTTTCTATCCTAATCTGTAACACATATTTATTAGTTTTACAAAAATAAAAATTTAATGGAGTATGCATAACTGATTTCAAAAGACTTCGTATTATGTAAATAAGATTGATGTTAGACATTAATAAATAAATCATTTATCTTATGCCAGCAATTAGCCGTCATGATCGTCACTATTGTGTTTTTTACCCTCATGTTTAGTAGATATCTATTGACTTTCTGCATACAAATATGAAGCTTATAGAAGACGAAAGAAATATTTATTTGCAGCCTATAAATTCGTTTTAAAATGACACTGTTAAATTCATATATATCTTAAGCCAAAATCTATCACGTTTGAAGACTTTTTTTTATTGTTCGACCTTTGTCGAAAATATTTTTGATTCAAATTTTTTTTTCATTTATGGATCCGTTATCCTGTTCGTGTCGTATAAGTAATATCTTATGAATAAAACATAGCTATTTCCTATGGAATAATGGCTCATTGCTAAAAGAAGTATGTGAGTTTCTTATGTTGGAAATAAACTCAAAATTTAAAAATCATAATCCGTATAATCAAATATACATCAATAATAACGTTGTAGTAATCTTTTTTAAAGTAGATTGTGAACATCCTACTTTAATAAAACAATCAACAATCATAGAAAAAGAATATTTTTTTATCCAGAGTATTTCGTGATTATTGAAGACTTAAATGTACATGACATATAGATACATACATATTATTAAACTAGCTGACTTCAACAATTTTTTAATTTATGTAATTGAATAAGATAAAGGAAATTATTCGTGACATTTCTTTTTCTTTGTTAACTGTAAGAAATATAATCATATGCAAACTAATTCTATTAATATTGTCATTCTATTTAAAATGGAAACAAAATTTTCAACATGCTTTTGTTGATGCCATTTATGGCTGTCAAAAGTTTTATTCATATTTATCAATAGAGATCAGCAGATTAAGGCAATTTAAAATCTCTCTTTTCATCAAGTCTATTTTTGGTAATTTTTGTTTTTTTTGCTAACCCTCTCCTTCATCAAGTTGTCAAATCTTTTTTTCCTAGATAAAATCCACTATGCTATTGAAAAGATTTTGATGCATTCTTATATAAAGAAAATGGTATTACGCAGACTTACCCTAGTATATATATATATATATAGTAAGTGTGAATACGATTACTAACAAGATTCGGTAGAAATCTTCGATGATAGTTATAGAATTTCTTATTTTTTTCTTTTCAGATAATCAATGTGATTGAGTGCCGGAACAAATACAGTTAGTAAATCTTTTTTCCTTTTGTATATAGATCGAGACTTTTTTTAGTGTTCATATATCAAAGCTTAATCAGACACAAAAGACGTTAGTGTTGAAACTTTTAGTAGCATCAATGACAACACTGATAGATTGATGATAGACCATTCAGATAAAGACACTGAAGAAACATATTTCTTCTTTTTCTGGAATTTCTGTCTTTCTCTTTCTCGGTTTGCCGCTTGACACCCTGTTGATTACTTGAAAGACCTTGGGAAAAATAACCAATTTGGTTCTAGAAGACAAGCATTGTATTACATCGAAAAATGACATGTTTATCACTTTGAGTTTTACATGTTACGAGGATATGATTTTCTTTTAATAAAATACTTTTTTGACCTATTCATTTTCCATTAATTGATTGAAAACAAACAAAAACACCTTTCTGAATACTATAATTGACTAATTGATTTTCTATCTATCATTAGATCGATACTAGGGGTAGCGGCAATGTTAGTGGGCTCTCGATATCATTACTAGCATCATCTTGCATTAACTGAAGCAACCAGAAGAAATAAAAGCAAAACAAGCGATATTCTATTTTATATCTCTCCTTGGTATTTACCCCCCACTGGCAATGGCAAAGAACATCCAATAACTGTCAGACAGCCGGTCTGTTGAATAACGTTGCTCTTTATAACCGATAATGAATATTTCGCAAGCATCAGATGTAAGTGTCTCTAGCAGTAGTTGACATGTTTTTTCTTGTGTCTAACTTGAAACTAATTGTTTTCTAGCTTTCTATGGAATATCTTGGAAAATTTCCCGGAACTGTTTCAAATGAAACAAAAAGTGCATCTTTGAATGTTCGACACATATTTGTGATTCGATGTTTGAGTTTATATGCTCTTCTACTTATCATCGTTGGTACGGTAGGCAATTTATTAACAATTGTGGTATTGCTGAGAAAAAATCTTCGTCGTTTGGTCACTATACGATATTTAATTATTGTCAGTATATGTGATACAATCTCACTCTACGGTTGGAATTTAAATAATTTCTATAAATTTCATATTAGTCCAATCCGTGGAAATTTAGAAGAAATATCTATTTTACATTGTCGAATTATTTCATTTATGACATTTGTTAGTTTACAATTATCAAGTTGGTGTCTGACTGCAGTTAGTCTCGGTAAGAATTGTTCTCTTATGAGCCAAAAAATATTTCTTTCCCTAAGCTGATTGATTAGTTGAGACAAGTACTTCGTGGATAAAAACCTTTCTGTTTATATGTCAAGTGAACAAGGTTAGGCATGTTTCAGTGACAGTAAGTTTGTCATTGTTAAGCTTATACATTTGACGTATAGATTGCTGTAGGCATTGTTCAAGGGAAATAATTGTATTATTTTAATGCATTTATAATTGAATTCATTCACTGATGAAAATTTCAGTAGACATTTGTTCGGTAAATTTCTACAAAACTTGTCGAGTTGTATGAAATAAAGCCTTTGTTTCAAAATTAAACAATTAATTTTTTGTGAAACAGCTCAAAATGCCTAGTGTTTCAAATAGAAGAGAGATTTATCTAAATATGGTGTAGAAAAACACAATATGATTGCTGCGTAAACTTTAATTTTGAGAAAATGCTACATAAATTGCAGATCAGTAAAAATTCCGATTATATCAATCTAACTTTGCTAACAACAATTTATACTTTAATTATGTTTGTTCAACATTCAAAACTGTAAATTGGCCTAGATATAAATTATAAATAGTCTTGCTTATTCACTCTCATTAATAATTTTCCATAAGAAAAAGCAAACTCTTCGTTATGACAAGACTAATTCTACACTTTTTTTGAATCAGTATTAAAAACAAAGTGACTTTAACGTGGATGAAGCATTATTATGCTGATTAATTTCACATAATGAATTTTCCTGTTTACATTTGCAAACTACCAGAAAAGTATACAGTATATTAGCAAAAAACGACAATTGATAAAAGCCTCAAAAATATGAACTTCCGATTGAACCAAAAATGAAGACTTATCACACAATGAAAATGTCCATAACAATTTGTTATTTGTGAAATCAAATTAATTTCAAAAACTTATGTCCTCTTCAATCTAATCAGTTTTACAATATGAATCATGTCCAAAAGAAAATAATTGTTCTCATTGAAATAGTTTTGTTCTATTTCTCGTAGACTATCTTACCATATGATGAACATATAGCAAAAGGTATGACGTAGAAGGAGCTAACACTTTTGTTTAATCAAGCAAGTCTTTTCTTAGGGTTTCTGCTTAGTGAGTAAAACATATAAAATATGACTTTTGTTTTTCGTTTCAATAGATCGTGCCTTAAATCTCTATTGGCTTCATTGGAAACAATCTTACGGAAAAAGAAAATATACAAAATATTATATCAGTATTTTAACATTTATTTGTATTGCATTGAATAGTCATGTATTATTTTTAAATGGTTATCGTACATCATCGGGAAGTATTGAATGCTATGCAACAGAAAATAATCCCGGTTATATATTTCCACAATGGGAACGTGTTCATTTAGTTGTTTATAATTTATGTCCATTTGCTATCATGTGTATCTGTAATACATATATTATTGTTGCTACAGTTCGATCAAGTCGTGCACAAGATGAATCCCTACCACCGACTGTACAACGAAAAAATCTCGAACGCTATCGACAACTTACTGCACTACTGATTATAGTTACATTTGCATTTGTCTTATTAACACTACCAGCGTGCATTTATTTTGTATTTTTTCGTCATAATCTTGAGGCAACAACTGAACGTACCTATCGCTATATGATTCAGATATCATTAAGTTCTGTTCAATTTACATCACATGGAATAAACTTTTTTCTTTATTGTTTTTCAGCAAAAAGTTTTCTAAATGAATTAAATGATATGCTAACCGAATGTTTATCTTGTCATCAAGTGAATAATGATCAATGGTCATTTGTTGGTGTACGAACAAATAATGATCCAGAACATGAATCGTCGTCGTTAGAAAATCAACGTACTGATCATAACAGAGAAATGGAAGTTAAAAACCAAAAGTTTAATAATGCACCACAATATCAAACAACAAGTGGACAAGAATCGGAGCCCAGTTGAGGAATTGTTTTCTTTTCATACAAACAATAACAATTACTGTATTATTGCTTCAAGTTAATCTTAAATATTTTTTCTTGTCTATACGAGATTAACTTAATGTGTGTATTTTTTCTTTGTATTTATTATATGATCAATAATCATTGTTCGTTTGTTCTTTTTTTGTTTTATCTTCGACTCATTATCTATTTGTTTGACACCTTGGTAATTTATATTATAATTATGCGTCCTGCTTAGTTTTATCTTGACAGATAAAATTGGCTAATTATCACTGGTATAGGTAGCAAAAATAGTCGTACATTTCAAAATAACTATATTCAAAAACTAGAATACCTTCTTATGTTTCATCAATACTTTCATAGAAGTTTACTTTCTTTGAATTATACGACATTAAAGTTGTAACGTGAATAATTGTTATATACATTAGCGTATAGAGGATGTATAAAATAAATATTTAATAGAAAAAAAAAACTTAACAGTATCTACTATTTGGTAAACACATTTCGATAACTATTCAAATAATTTGCCAATCGAATGTTATTTATTACTCACAAGAACTTCAGCATTAATATTAAATTATCAGATTACATTTAAAATAATAAACATATACTTCGATACAGAATATTTTCTGTATTTTACATTTTAAGTTTCTATACTATTCGCTTTTTGTCTCAGCAAAAAAAAATAAACAATGGTCTCGACAACTGACTCCATCTGTATCGAGTCTTTATATCAAACATTTTTTACTTATATATAATGAAAGTCAAACAAAACATACTATTGGTTGTTAACACAAGGTAGAATACCGGATCCATCGGACGTGGACAGATTTTTTTTTGTTTTGTTGGTTTGTTTACGTGTACCGTTTTTGAATCTCATCTATAACAACTTGAAAATTATTTTCTTTATTATCATTTTAGAACATCTTCCTAGTTTGATCATATAAATCAATCATTACAACATGGTAATATTTTCTAAAAGATAGCGAATTTGAAAAAAGTAAATAAATAATTTCATTACCTATTCTAGCCTCTGCGCCTTGATGTTAAGCGCAAATTGTCTGTTCGTTCAGATCGTGTTAAATGTGTTGATATTCATCCGAACGAACCATGGATCTTAGTAACACTTTATAATGGTCATGCGCATATTTATAATCATGACACTCAAGTAATTATTTGTTTTCTTTTTTTCTAATTCATTCTTATTATTTTATTTCTTTTAGCAATTAATTAAAACATTCGAAATATGTGATGTACCTGTTCGTTCAGGCAAATTTATTGTCCGAAAAAATTGGGCAGTTACTGCTTCTGTAAGTTTCATTTTCATTGATTCACTCATTTCATATTTATTCTCAAGGATGATATGCTTGTACGCGTATATAACTATAATACACTTGAAAGATTACATCAATTTGAAGCACATAGTGATTATATTCGTTCAATTGTTGTTCATCCAACACAACCTTATATTCTTACTAGTAGTGGTATGTTTTTGTTTGGATTTTGAACACTTTTGAAGGTAAATACTTTTTCTTGTGTAGATGATATGACAATTAAATTATGGGATTGGGATGCAAAATGGGCATTAAAACAGACTTTTGAAGGCCATATTCACTATGTAATGCAAATAGCTATTAATCCAAAAGATAATAATACATTTGCATCAGCATCACTTGATCGTACTGTCAAAGTAAGAAGAAATTTCTTAAATTATTTAACTTAAATTATTACGATTTTCGATTTAGGTATGGCAATTAGGATCTACTCAAGCAAATTTTACACTTGAAGGTCATGAAAAAGGTGTCAATTGTGTTGATTATTATTCAGGTGGTGACAAACCATATCTTGTTTCGGGTGGTGATGATCGTCTTGTGAAAATTTGGGATTATCAAGTAATTATTGTTTTTCTCATTTTTCAATAAAAACAAAATATTTTCATTTTTGTTTTTGTTCTATAGAATAAAACATGTGTACAAACATTAGAAGGACACTCACAAAATGTCGGTTGTGTTGCATTTCATCCTGAATTACCTATTATATTAAGTGGTTCAGAAGATGGTACTGTTAAATTGTGGCATTCAAATACATATCGTCTTGAATCAACACTTAATTATGGTCTCGAACGATGTTGGACAATAGCATGCTTGAAAGGATCAAATAATGTTGCATTAGGTTACGATGAAGGAACAATGATGATTAAAGTAAAATGATTTCAACAAAAAATAAAAATAAATTTGATTGTTCTTTTTTTCTTTTCATTAGTTGGGTCGAGAAGAACCAGCTATGTCAATGGATGCATCGACTGGTAAAATCGTGTGGGCTAAACATTGTGAAATTCAACAAGTTAATTTAAAACAATTAAATATCGATCAACAATTGAAAGACGGAGAAAAAGTTCCATTAAATGTTAAAGAAATGGGCAGTTGTGAAATCTATCCACAAACATTATCTCATTCACCAAATGGACGGTAGAATATTTTATTGTTTTCTAAAGTGTGAATTGAAAATATACAATTGTTTTGATTTAGATTTGTTGTTGTTTGTGGTGATGGTGAATATATTATTTATACAGCAATAACATTACGTAATAAAAGTTATGGTAGTGCTATGGAATTTGTTTGGTCACAAGATTCATCCGAATATGCTGTACGCGATGGAAATATGGTTAAAATATTTAAAAATTTCAAAGAAAAGAAAACATTTAAACCTGAAGCTGGCGCAGAAAATATTTTTGGTGGATCACTTTTAGGTGTTAGATCATATTCTGGTCTATCATTTTACGATTGGGAAACAACGACTTTAATTCGTCGTATTGAAATTGCACCAAAAACTGTATGACTATTCTTCACAAGCTTTTCTTTATATGATCGAATGATTTGTTCGTTTATAGCTTTATTGGAGTCAAAATGGTGAATTAGTTTGCATTGCAACAGAAGAGTCATATTATGTTCTACGGTATAATCCTCAAGCTGTAGCAGCTGCAACGACAAACAAAGAGCTTGTATCGGAAGATGGAATTGAGGATGCATTTGATGTAAGCTTTTTTTTGCTATTCGATGATCTAATCAGATACGCGCCAGTAACTATTTGATTGTTATTCTCTGAGTCATATTCAATGAACATTTACTCTTGCAACGGGATATGTTTAAACAGACCATATGGAGTGACCTGTCAAAATGCTGTTTTTGACATATGTCAATACTATTGTTGTAAGGAAATTTACGCAGTCAGAAAATCCTATTCAAACATTGTAAAAAGGGTCTAGTCTCGATATTTATTCAAATTCATTTTATTGCTAACAGTAAAATTAAAATATAGTGTTTGATTTTCAAGAGAAAATCCCATCAATATAGATTTGTTTTTTTAAAGCTTTGAGTGTTAACTCTTTATTAAAAACATATCATGCATTCAGAATCAGTGTAAATATATATATATATATATATATATATATATAGCCATATACTGCATATTCTTACAGAATTGCCGTCACCACACCAGTCGCTGTTATTTTCGAAAGTATATGTTTGTTCTTGCCAAGATCGATGCTTAAATGAATATTAATTTTGAGTATTGAGTTTACTAATCAGTTGTGCTATTTTTAATATTAGAAGACAAATCTGTATTTATGATATTTTTCTGAATTTTCAAACAATATGAAGAGTAAAAGAAAGAAAAACAAACTCGTTTTGTATTGCTGGCATCTAATATGATATAACTGTTATGGTCAATAGAGTATCAATAAAAATCTGTTGATTAATATTTAACTTACCTTTTAAATTTCTTAGGCACTTAGTGAAATACCTGAAATAGTGAGAACAGGTGTATGGGTTGGCGATTGTTTTATGTATACGAATTCTCTTAATCGTATAAATTATTATGTTGGTGGTGAAATTGTAACAATATCACACTTGGATAGGTAATTTTTGAAAAAAAAACATTTTTTTTTCTATTGAGTTAATTAATTTGAATTCGTCTATTTTAGAGTAATGTATTTATTAGGTTATGTTTCCAATGAAAATCGTCTTTATTTGGGTGATAAAGAAATGTCTATTGTATCGTTTGAATTATCCTTAGCCGTACTTGAATATCAAACAGCTGTTATGCGTAAAGATTTTGAAACAGCTGATCAAGTTCTTCCAACAATTGCAAAAGAGCAACGAACACGTGTTGCACATTTTCTTGAAAAACAAGTTTGTGTTATTTGTTATTTAACATGACAACAATTTAATTATCCGCCCCCCTCTCTCTCTGATCTGTATTTTTCTAGGGTTATCGTCAACAAGCATTGGCTGTTACATTGGACAATGAACATAAATTTGATTTAGCACTTCAATTAGGAAATTTAACTGTTTGTTATGAGCTCGCAGTTGAAATGGAAAATGAACAAAAGTGGTTACAATTATCTGAGCTTGCAACAAAAGCTGGAGATTTAAATTTAGTACAAGAATGTTTAACACGAGCACAATCATTTGGTTCACTTATTTTATTAGCAAGTGCATCAAGCAATAAGCAATTAATGTCAACCATTGGTGAACAATCAAGAAAAAATGGACAATTCAATATAGCTTTTCTATCCAATTTTGTATTGGGAAAATTAGATACATGTTTAGATATTCTTATTGAAAATCAACGTATACCTGAAGCAGCTTTCTTTGCTCGAACATATTTACCATCACAAATTGGTCGCATTGTTAATTTATGGCGAGAGAAATTAAAACAAATGAATATGGAACGTTCAGCACAAGCATTAGCTAATCCAACTGATTATGAAAATCTGTTCCCAGGTCTTGTTGATACATACAAAACAGAACAATTTTTAAAAGAAGAAGCAAAAACTCATTTAGCTCGTGATTTTCCAACAATACACGTAAGAAATTCATTTTACTTGAAGATTTTCCTATATTTCATTATGTTTCAGCCCAATTGGGAACGAAATCCTGTTGCTGAAATGAAAGAAGCGGAAGAAAATGAGGAGTTTTTTTATCATCCAGTGCAATTGAAAAAAGACACTAAAGATGAAAATGATGATGATAATGAAAATTTTTCTGACGCAAATGAATCACCTAAGCAAGTACCACCATCTCAAACGAAGCAAACACCAATCGATCCTCCTGCAACAACACACAAAGTATTCAAAAATCATAAAAGAAGAATAATTGTGTTTTTTAAATTTATGATACATTTTTAGACAAGTACTGAATCATCGGTAATAAGTAAATTAATTTCAGCTGCTCCCCCATCAGCAACAAGTTCATCTGATCGTGCACGTTCTCAGTCTCCAATGACTAAACCAGTTATTTTGCCACCAACAACAAAAGAGAAAACTCCTCCTCCACCAAGTGTTCCTGCACCATCAGCAATATCCAAAGCAGCAAGTGATATTAAACCAACGGCTGCTGCTGTTCGCAAAACATCATTGAGCGATCTTGAAAAAGAACTTCAAGAATTCGATATAGACGTCGATAAAGATGATGTAAGCGACGTTGAAATTGAGCCATCAACAGGAGCTAATAAAAAATCTGCTGATGAGGATGAGGTAAAAATGTTCAAATAGAGATTTGTTCGCAGTGGGAAAAAAAATCATAACATATTAGTTGCACGTGGATTAACAAAGCATGCTCTTTATTCTTCTATTTTATTTATTTTTTTTTGGGAGGGGGGTATAGATATAGCATGATAACACTAATATAATATACTTTTTTTTTAAATAAATTTTAATCACATATATTTTTTTATATATATTTAGGATCTTCAATTTGATGATGATGATGTAGATGAATTTCTCAGAGATACTTGAATTCAATTGAATATCATCATGTGATATAGATGTATCAAGTTGTCTACCGTATTCCATGCATACAAGCATACAAATAACTCTATATCTTTATTTCTTTCTTCTCGCTTTCTTCTTTTTCTTTTCTTTGTAACTTATCGTCAATACTATTGTTTTACCAACGTTGTTGTTTTTTTTCTTTTTAGCACTATATAGACACATATGGTTATTACAATTTTCCTTTGATTTATTCGATCTGAAATAAGCGAAACACATATTTAACGCGAATTGCTTTATTAAAGTTTTTCTTCTTCTTCTTTTTATGATGCGGAACATAAGTCTAATTCAAGTTTTTCTTTTCTTTCTTTCTTTGTTTGTTCATTTCATTTTTGTTATTATTTAAAAGAAACCGTGCGTGTTTGTCTGTATGGGTGTTTGACGATTTGCAGAAGATGATAAAATTCTTTACTATAATTATTCAATAGGCTACAAACGACATCTGATCAAGAGATGAAAACTCTCAGGCATCGAGATGTTAGAAGAGTTTTCTTTGTTAACAAAAAAAAAGATTTCTATATCAATAATCAGTTCGATAGAAATTAATGTATATCTTACTACACCAGATATTGTTTTACAAATAAATAGACATTTAAATCAAATTGAAACCGAAATAATGCAAGCTAGTTTTGGAAGAACTCTTCGAATAGTTCATTTGATTGTAGCGCAATTATTGAAAACGATAAGATCAGATCACTTTTACAAGCATTTTGAACTTAAATTAAATTGTCCTACATACATACTTCGTACTCGAAACCAAGCCGGCAGATCGACTAGTGCAAGTTTAGAATATACATCAATATAGCGCCGAAATGTCGGCACCAAATTTGTATATTTTGGATGCGGGTGATCGGGCGAAAAGTTAGGTTTAAGTGTGGGTCTTGGTATGGACTTGAGTAAGAGCGGGCGTATTTCGTGCCCTGAATGAAGAAACAATGTTCCCAAAAGCTGAAATTAGTCCAGAAATGAATCGCAGATTATATATATTGTTTCCACATACCATAGTTTATCAAGAATTTTATCAAATATTCCATTAACATTCATTTGTTATTTTCATTCAATAGGCCTTTTGGCACAAAGTCTTAGATTAATGATCTCGATCAGTTAATGGGCAATGAAGTCTATGGAGTGGCACTAATTCAAAATGAACATGAAATATCAACAAAAAATGATATTCTCTCGAAAGTTTTCATGAAATTTATAAAAACCTCTGAAAATATTACATTAAAATGTGATTCTATTCCAGTGAACAAGAATGAAATACTCATATACAAAATAAGCAACCTGATTGAACGATAATGCTAAGTTTAAGGCATATTAACGGACCGTATCTGGCCATGGTGGTCACCGGATGGATAGTTCAACTTTCATTGATTTATACGTCATTGTATCGTCTTGTTGATAGGTTGTTATTCAATTGATATGTGGAATTGTTTCTCACGTTTAGTTGAAAAACTACCACGTACAAACAATTCCTATGAAGGATATAATCGAACTATTAAAGTATTTCTGCCCAAATTTAGCACAAAAGAATCCATCAATCTATTCAGGTCAAATACGTACGGCGGGAAACAGTCTAATCCGGTGATTTTCCATCGAGTTTCGAAAAGTTTTCCGATCTCCGTTTACAGCAGGATTCTGAGTACTTTTCCGATTGTTTCCTTTTGACGATCGGAAACGAAGGAATACCCGGATTGCACCGTTTGACCTACCGGATCCGAAAAATAAGAACTATTCGATGCTTCCTTTTTCTAATTGAAAAAAATTTGTGAATTTCAAGGATAAGTACATATTTCTTATTGGAAGTACGAATCTGCAGAATTACTGCTTAGAGTTGACTTGAAATCAACACATTAATGAATTTAATTGGATTTTATTGTTGAGTCTGCCACATAAAATCTTTACGATATAGTGTTAATCTAACTAATTTTGATTTATATTACATATAACCTAATGTAATACCAATTACTTTTGGCATAAACCCCATTAAAATTGGATTACCGACATGGAGTATGAATAGGATGATCACAGTTTAATTGGTCACATTTTTGTATGTGTTTACTCTATCTGCTACTAAGATGGTTAGTAAAGGAGTCAAAATTTTATTTTTATTTTCTCACTGTATGTGTATAACATTTTAATATTTTTAAGCAATAGCTATCAGCAATTATAAAATCTGGGGCGAATGACAGCACTTTTTTACATCGAAATAATTGCTCATATCTTTGATGTTTGTGTCTAAATCGATTAACACTTGATAATAGTTTAAGGTAGATCATCATCTTATATAGCCATGTAGAAGTACAAAAAGTGCATAGAGATAGATTAGAAAAATATTTCTGATTAATTATTGATTCGAAAGGAATTGATTATAAGAAATAAAAACTCTAAAATTGAAATAATTTCGTGCATCCACACCCTCAAATTGGACAATAACCTATGGAGAAACTTTAGAATAAGCATCAAGTGTAATAAATTATTTTGTGTGTTAATGTTGAAGCTCGTAATCAACCTGTGCTGATTTGAATCGCTGATAATCAATTTTATATTAATAATGATTCCATCATGATTCAAGCACATCAAAGTTATCGATTGATAGAGTTTGCGTTGTTTGATTATTTTTTAATAAAATGCCTTAACCGTAAGAATAACTTCATTTTAATATTGCTGAAATGCTGATTAACTTAACTGAGATTTTTGTCTAATATTTTTAACCTTTAAGATGAAATAAGCAGTCATTCAAAGCGTAATCAATCAAAGTGCAACAAATTCATAAGATATCCAAATAGTATGAAGATAGATTTTTAGCTACAGTGAGATTGAGATTTAGATTGATTTTAACCTAGCTTTTACACATAAAAAAAGACTGATGTGGTATAATCTTTAATAGACATTGAATTTTAAAAAAAAACAGTAAAATTAATCGTGATATTTTCTACTCCTCACTCTACTCAATGCATAATGTCTGTCAGATACATGAATTTCATTTTAATTCGAGAAGAGCAAACATATATAGTTTCACTTCCGTTCTAAAATGATCTCACAGAAGATATCAATAAATGATAAACTTTTCCGTCGTTTCCTATGATTCAGCAAAGCATATCAGATGACATTTCCATAACAGCGATAAGGATAACTACAATCTCTTTTGTCATATAATTCCAGATCTAGAACTACGAAAAAGTATTTCGACGTCTATATCCAATCTGACTGGTTTGTGACATTTTACACATTTTCACGGCTTTCTAAGGATTTCGATATACATTGAAAAATATTGGAAAGCATTAGAAATTTTTCGCAACACAAGAATTCGGAAATACAGATCTTTTTTGTTTCCTTTCAATTCTCACCTGCGTACACTTGATGCTGGTGCACATTAAAGAGCTATGGAAAATCACAATGTATGTGACCTACTGTATCTTGACTGAAATATTTTTTTCTATATATTCAAGCAATATGTTACCGAAAGTGAATTATCACTTAGGAAGTCTCTTAAGGGTATAACGAACTCGAAGCTCTCCAGATGTCTTTCTAGTGGCTGGCAATCAAGACTTTTTATGGTTTCTTTATATATCGTGATATTTCTACCGTTCACTAACAGAAAGTGTCAAAAACAGATTGACTAATGATATTACATAACACGGATTATTCAGAAATAGATGATATTGGTCCTATAAATAGAACAGCACACACTAACATAGTTAGTTCATTCTAATCGTACCACTTTTAGCAGTAATATGGATCGAAAATTAACTAAAATCACAAGAAAAGTTCATTCAGCAGTAACTATGTGTTTAGGTCACCACCACTATGGTAGATCATTATCAATACAGTTGAAGTGCTTTACACACCTGATATGTGAGTTACATGTGAAAATTTTAAACATCTTTCAAATCTATTTCAAAGAAAGATCTTACGAGATATTTGAAGAATGATTGAAAAACGTTCAAATCGTTCGAATTGACCTGAGATTATATTTATTCCACACCCACATTCAGAATAGACTCAGTCATAGGTAAACCAATATGACAAAAGACTCCATAATCAAAGTGTCTTGTGTATGTCTTGCGCAGAGCTTATAAAAGCATTCTATAACAGATAAGCAAGATAAACGAAAATCGGCTTTCTTCCGCATCATTTTAAATTGCCGTCTAACTATTTAACATTCATCGAATGCGGGCTGCTACACTCATATATACAGCTCGCTTATTAGGACATTAGACTCTTCTTTTAAAAAAATTAAAATAGTTTTATTAGACGTACTGCTCGAGACAAACATCTTTCCAAATTCATAACTAAAAGTAAAGTAAAAAATCTTAACCCACTTCACAATTAAGAATATAGGCCGCAATGGGGATTCAACTTATGCTTTTATCTATGTACTTTCACAAATAAAAAAGAATCATATATTTATCGCTACGCACTAATATATCCTCCTAACTGATTGAAAATTGAAAAATAAATACGGTCTCATACATCAACACCGAAAGATAGAAGTAATTTCCCGTCCTTCTTAGAAACATCGATGATGGATCTTCGATCGCATAATCGTTGTGTATTTCAACTAATTATACTTTCACGTAGCAGTCTATCATATGGGCACACTGACCAAAGAATCATTTTAAAACATCCTCCTCAGTTCACTAGTAACACCAACTAGAAAAGCAAATTCGTAAAAGTAAGCATATTTTGTGTTTCTTCTCCTCTTATACCTTCTACTTTAGGCAATTCGAAGTATTTCTCGGTGGATTTCAGGTGAAAGATCTTCAATAATACACACTAAATTATAAACTATTGTATCTATTTGTCGCAAGTTATAATGTTGGCGATTCGATTATGAAAAAGAGTCACAATTAGAATTTGCCGCAAAAAATGGTCAGGATCCATGTACACCATATACAATCATCGTTTTATTTTGCAGAAAGATCTCTATATAAGCAACTCAACTTCAGATACAAAACTTATATTTTCATAGAGATTATTCCCACTTATCTCTTTACCAGCAATCACTTTCGATACATGATTTTCAAGGTTCTTTCTGGGTAATTAAACGATAATTAGGGTATTTCAGAGTCTCACTCATTAATATAAAAGAAAAGATCTCTCACGGTAACAACTTTGCAACTTTTGCATCCTAATTTTCATTCTCCATTATTTATTCAGCAGCAAAAAGTAGTCTCAATTCATGAATTTTAATATTTTATACCTATTGAATGCATTTTAACCAGCCATTACAAAGCATAATTACTAACACTTCAACGGTAGAGTCATTGAAAGCTCTTCCTCACATAATAACTCTCATCTGAGATATTTAACAATCGAGTTCATACCGTTTGAAATCAAAATGTCTGGAAAAAAAACTCTAAGTCAATATCTTCGATTTGAAAGTCGCCTTCACTGACCCTTATCTAGAAAGATCATTAAAGATCTTTTTGGGTCCATACCACTTGTTTGAGTTTTTTTTCTAAGTCCACTTTTTTGTGTTTCAATCAGAAGGATTACTAAAGATCTTCCACGTTCTATCATTTCAATTTCAGATATTTGAAAGTTCGATTCATTGCATTTCTTCAAAAAGAATAATCAAAAGCATTTCGAAATACCTCAAAAAAGAGATCTTTAAGGATCCTTTTTGATAAAAGTGAATCAATGCTGCTTTCAAATACCTCAAATGGGAGCTAATGAATTAAAAAGACTTTCAAGGGTATTTCTCCGTTGATTTCGAGGAAGAAGTCTTCAAAATACCTGAAGTTTATAGTAGTCAGGTTGGGATCTGTTTGCGTCTGCAATGGTATAGTGAATGATTTTGAAGCAGTGCGTGAGATTATTGGCGTTAGGGAAGCTGACTGGAAATTTACTTTTTTGCGGGTGCGACTATCTAGAATGACGAGGTGTGGCGGTGCCGATAAATCTGCGCACGATTTCAGGAAGATTGGAGCTTCCAAAATTTCCCCAGTTGGAATCGGTCGGATTTCGTTAGTTCCGTCGTGTGTTCCGTTTGTATTCATTTTGATCACGGATCGATTCCGGGAATTTTTCTCAATGGTTACGGTGGCGAGAATAGTGCGGAATATTCCGGTTACAATATGGTGATTTCCAAACGGAATACTGCTTCCACTTTCCGGATAGTTTCCGGTTCGTTTTCGGTTGTAATGTACTTGGAAACCACCGGAAGTATCGAGAAATTGCGTCGTTTCCTTCCGTTTCCGGTCGTTTCCGGAGTCCGGAATCATCGACCTAGGTATTCTCTATGATTGAGATCATTTTTTATAATCCAAGAAACCATCTCATCTATAGGTGTATATTACTACGACAAAATATATGCATTGGTCTGTAGCTAAAAGAAAATCATTATCAACAGGAGTAAAAAATAAATCCTTTGAAAAACAATTAATTGTTATAAAAATCAATGTAGATTGAAAAGAGAAAAATATACAACAGTGAACCACGATCATCATTTGCTTGTAGTTGAATTCAACGGAAGTTTTCTTCGATTCATTTCAGTTAAAAAATTTATATCAAAGTCATACATATGTTCAAAGAACAATTGCTAAAATCAATTGAAGCTTTTCTTCTAAAAAAAATGAGATGTCGAATATGATCACATGCATTACGAACTGAAAAATATGATGATAGCGATGAAAATATTGAGTAAACAAAGCTCAATAATTATTGTTTTCAGTTGAAATAATCATAATTTATGTTTATTTGTTTAACAATGTATAAAAACATTTGAATTAACATCAAAATTCAGTGAACAATATATTTACGAGTCATAGTTATGTGTAAGGGAAAGAATCAAAGAAGAAATAGCAAAGGTTTCAAAATCTAAATACCTTAGATTTCAATAAAATAACTAAGAAACCCGAACGTCGTTAAGGAGTCGCTCTTTCAAGACAGTTAAACTTGTCTGCATATAGAATGAAGAACTATCAAAATTTTCAATTCAGTCTAATTCATGACTGTACTATTCGAAAAATCAAAACATAATGAAAATATCAGTTCTTGTATTTTATATTGTATCTAATCCGTTGTTTTCATAGTTTGACTTAATTTCATATTTTCGAATCGAAAATTACTCAAACTCTCACAAACGAATACATAAAATTTATATTTATGCAAGAAAATGATATTGATGAAAATTCAATACGTAAAAAAACTGCTGATGATTATCAAAGAGAACACGATTGTAGAACACAATGAATCACATCGAACAGTAACTTTAATTTAATATCAAAATGAAGAATTTTCTTGACATAAAACAATGTTTTCAACTATTTGATAATTATTTCTACCAATCTCTGATCTTTTCACTGATTAACTATTTTATTATTACTGCAGGCAAAACATTTTAAATTGTTTTACCTTTTCCAATTGTATTTCTTCTTAGTCTACACTACGAAAGGATCAATGAATCATGAGGTGCTCAGTTTAACTCAATTATTAGTCACTACTGATTCGTATATAAAATGAACGACCAAGTTGAAACATAAGATTATTTATGATAAAATAAATAACATCTTTCTACTTCTTTTTTTTAGTTAATAATAATTGAGCTGTTTGTTTTATGAAATTCTATATGTTTAGGTCGAAGTTTATGTTCTGTTGATGCAAAAAGATTGAAAAGAATATTAAGAAAAAGCAGAAGTCATGTTACTAGTTGAATTTACAATGTTGTTCAATTATGGTTGATTTTGACGCAAGAAACAGAAAAAACTATCAACGGATCATATATTTGTAGACTATGTAATCTTATTTTACGACAACTAGTGCCAACAAAAAAATATACCTTTCGTCATTATAAAATTGAAACCGCAGTATATGTACGAAGGCGACAAAAAAATATCCATCCTTCCTTAAATTTGTTTTATAAAAAAATATGCTCGTGGATGTGGAAATTTTTTCTATTTGAAAATGATATCTGATTTTGCGGACACGCTTCACTAGCGCATGTTCGTAGTAGTCAACACAAGCATTGCTTTGAAAATAAACTGACGGCTAAGTAGCAATTTATTATTGACCGTGTAATTTCATAAGATGGTGAAATCTTGATTGGTAATTAGTGTGTTTGTCGTTCTCATGTGCACATTCACGGTCTAGCAATTTTCATGAATACAGTGTTTTTACAAAAAAAACTTTTTCTGTGCTAGTTGCATTTCGTTTTTTTCTTTCATCGGTGGTAGGTATGAAATACAAACATGGGAGTAAGGAAGTTGATGATGACTGTTAGTGCGATCTTACTGCTAGCGCAAAATAAAAGCTAAGTCATACTCAAATTCTATCGAAAGATTAATGTTTATTATATGTTGTTTATTGCTACATCACTGTAAAAGAATCGTAGAATACTAAACCCTATGAAAAGGGTTTAGTATTCTACGTTTTTTTTTACAATGATTCTTATGATACTATAACGTGTTACCCTGATACTGTATATTAGTATCTGGAATAGAAATTGTTTCTTCGACTCAATGTTATGAAACTACAGTGGAAATTTTTACTCGCAGAGAAAACTGATTTTAAGATTCAAAATCTACTGTAATGCATATAGTTCGTTACATCAACAGGTCGCAATTACCATTACCACATTAATAATCAAGAGTTAATAAGCATACCTTTTCAATAACAAAAATACTTTTTGGCTGACAGATATAAGCGCGTCAGATTGAAGGTATCTTTCCCATGACTGATGAAGCATAAAATTATCTTTCGAGCAATCTTTGTAGCTTTTTCTCAGATTTTCTTTGGCTTTTGTATGCTTGTTTCTGTTCGATTATTCAGACACTTCCCATTGCCGATAGTTCGAATAAGCCTGATTTTATTCTTCTTTTATTTCGCTTAACTGATTGTTTCTGCTTCTTTCATTGTTGCATCAAATTTCTCCCTTTTCTTTTATTATTCAGTTTTCTGGTTTAATATGGCTACTGCTATGTCATCAAATGATAATTTTTACACAGCAGATGACGATATGCGTCTTGAAATATTCTGTCTTGTATGGTTAGATGCTAATTCAAACGCTAAAGACACCAGAGATACAGAACAAAAGTTACGTTCAATTATTAATCATTTGAAGAAATTTCAAGATGTTAAACAATGTCAAAAATTTATTGAAGAAAGATCAAAAAATGATCGCATTTCGATCATTGTTAGTGGTCAATTTGGACGAGAAATAGTCCCTGCTATTCATAAACTTCGACAAATTATATCGATTTATGTGTATTGTTTCGATATAGTACTTAACAAACAATGGGCCGATAAATTTGCAAAAGTAAACTTCTTCTGAATGATTTCTATTTCATTTCATGAATTTCTGTTGATAGATAAAAGCTGTTGTCAATAAACTTGATGACCTGATCACTAGAATCAAAGCTGATCATAGAATTCAGAAAATCGTAGAAGAACCATTGTCTATTAATATTTTTACGACCGGTGGTAGTTCAACAGCAGGTGTAAATGGTCAGTTTGTTTTTTCACAGATTCTAATTGATTGTCTTCTGCGACTGAAACCTACTAAAGCAGATAAAAAAGAACTGATTGATCGTTGTAAACAACTGTATCAAGACAATCAATATGAATTGAGCAAAATCCATGATTTTCGACAAGAATACTCACCTGAAAAAGCCTTATGGTGGTATACTCGTCAGTCATTCTTTTACAAGACTCTTAATGCAGCTCTACGTAAACAAAATATCCATTTCATTTTTTTATTTCGTGAGTTTATTTCCGATATTCATCGTCAATTGAAAGCTAATCAAGCGGGTGATACTTTGCGAGTGTATCGAGGTCAGATGATATCCAGTGATGAATTGGAAACTTTCAAGAAAAACTGTGATCATTTCATTTCAATCAATTCATTTTTTTCCACAAGTCTCGATAAAACGCAAGCTCTGTTATTTCTAAATAGTTGTGATGTTGGAGACAACTTAGAACCAGTCTTGTTTGAAATTGATGCGAATCCTACGTTAGTTACTAGCAAACCATTTGCTGATGTCAGTTCATACAGTGAATTTACTGGTGAATCCGAGGTCCTCTTTATGCTTGGTTCGATTTTTCGTTTGAAAAATGTAAGGAGCAGTAGTAATGGTCAAGTATGGATCGTGCGAATGACTTTATGTAGTGATGATGAACATGATTTAAAACAAGTCATAATCGATATGAAAGATCATTTTTTGAGTCGCGAAATAAATCTTCGAACGTTAGCAAAACTATTATGGGAGATGGGTAAACCTGATTTGGCTGAAAAATATTTTATTCGCTTGTTAGAACAACTATCACTACAAGATCCTTTACTTGGCGATTTGTATCATGATCTTGGAAGACTTGCATCACATGTCGGTAACTTGGACAAGAGTATGGAATGGCATAAAAAAGCTAGTGCGTGGAAAAAACAAAACCAATCAAGTACCACTGTTGGTAAGTTTATTTGAATATAAACCTATTGTCTTGAAACGAATCATATACTTAACAAGAAATATGCTTTTTTCAAAACTGAAATTGTAATTTAATACTGCTCACTGGCAGTATTTGCTTCTAAGACTGAGTTATTTTAGAATACATATCATTTTGTGTGGTAGAGTAGAAATATTGTTTTGTGTTATTTATCATTATGTTTTCCTATAATTTACTGGAAACACGAAAAAAATCAATTTTGAGCTTCAGGGTGTTTCATTCATTTCTGCTTTTTTTTAGGCAAATCGTTATCTCTTCGTCTTCCACTTAAATTGTTCATAGAAAATTATGAAAGAAGGTATTTAATAAAAATTGAAGTATATCGACTCTTTTCGAATTCTGTTCGATCCCTATGAAACAATCTATGATTAGAAAGAATTGTCTTTTTCTATTAACAATCTCATTGATATTAATTATGAAATTAAGAAATATAAAAAGTAAATGGCAACCCATTCTATAGTTCTTCTCTGACGTCCTTATAATCGATCTGAGTTTGCATTTGATGTTGACTCTTACTTGTTAAATATTCCCATTGAATTTTAATGTTTTCATTACTATGTAGCAAATGACGTTCATAGATAAGATGGCAATTATAATGGCTTGCTTCGTTCTCTTATGTTTTAATTTTTCGCTCTTTGTATCAAGATCCAATAAGCACATACAACCATAGAGACTATAATATAGTAACTTGAAAAGCAATGTGAACTCTTATTATTTCGTATTCGTCAGTTTGATTATAAAATTTTCTAAATTAAACATATCGCTTTAAGTTATACAGAGTTTCTTTGTCACTAAATTGGCAATACGAAAAAAAAACAGAATACATAAATGAGACAAAATCGATTTTGTTTTGTTTGTTGGATATCAGATTAAATTATGTTTTCT